ACAACAACAACAACAATAACAACTGATTATAAACATTAGGGTCACTTATTTTTTCATTCAAAATATTTTATCCTTTTCTGCAAAAAAATTGTTTGTTTTTAAGTAAATGTGTTATTGTCAGAGTAGTAGATGTAAACTTTTATTCCAGCAGTACTGATAGTGCTGTACTTTAAGTGAATTTAAAATGCAGAGTATTGGTGGTTATCAAAACATTGGTGATTCAGTGGCAGAATTCTCACCTGACACACCAAGGGGCCTGGATTCAATACCCGGCTAATGCAACTGTCTTTTCACCTTTCTCCAAAACAATCTCTCTTGATAGCCAGCATGGCATAATATTTGAGTGTTGTACTGGGAGACCAGGAATTGAATCCCCACTTGGCCACAGAAACCCACTGGATGATTCTGGACAAGTCACACTCTCTCAGCCTCAGAGGAAGCCAAGAATAAAAATCTTCTGAACAAATTCTGCCAAGAAAATCCCATGATAGGGTCAGCTCAGATATGACTTGAAAATGCAAAAATGCAAACACTCAGGTTTTGTTTATTTTTTTTCCAAATACTGGTAAAGGATTAGCAAACAGTTGTTATGTTATGTTAGGTTTTGTTTGTTTCCTGGCTCTAAAATATCAAGAAGGTAAAGCAGTGATAAGAAATACAGTGGTACTACTAATGATGAGAGATAAAAGTTTGTTGAATGGTTCAAAATATGTAATATACTTGATAGTCTAAAATCTAAAAATAACGCAGGCTTCTGCCACATTGCAGAATTAAAAGTTTGACACCACATTACTAGCCATGGCTCAATGCTATGGAAATCTGGGATCTGTAGTTTGGTAAGATATTTAGCTTTCTCTCTGAGAGCTTTAATTACAAATACCATAACAAACCACAAATCCCAAGATTCCATAGGAATGGCAGTTAATGCGGTGTCAAACTGCATTAATTCTGCAGCATGGCAGCAGCCATAGTTGCAAAATTGTAAAGATATTGTAGAAACACTTCCAGCTACCATCCATATTTTGTTCCAAAACAATTACAGTGGTCCCTCCACATTCACTGGGGTTAGGGGTGAAGGAACCCATGAATGTGGAAAAACTGCAAATAAAAAAAACCACTATTCTTTTTACTTAAGAGAACACCTCTCTAGGACTCTCCAAGTCCTCCAGTGCAACTCTGTGGTCAATATCTGTGAGAAGCTGATCATAGAATCATGCTGGAGAACCTACAAATACCTAGAGAAGTGTTTTCTGAAAGAACATGTAGATATTAATCAAAACCACAAATAATCAAATGTGCAAAAGTAAAATCCATAAATGTGGAAGGCCATCTGTATGCAGAAGTGTTATCTACATGCCATGCTTTCTTCTCCTTCTTCATGCCTATATCCCGTCCTTTCCCCCCCCCATGAGCTCAAAGTGACACACATGACTTTCCCCCTCTTTTTATCCTTCCAAGAACCCTGCAGTGTAGGTAAGACTGAGAGGAAGAACTTGCCCCAGGTCACCCTGTAAATTTTTATGCCTCAGAGGTACTTGAGCCTAGATCTCCCAATTCCCACGCTCAGCCTCCTGTCATTACACCACACCCATATGACCTTCAAAAGAGTTTTGCCTTTGTTTCAAGCTACTTTGCTTTGTTCCCTTGTGCTGGTGCCATTCACTTGATCCACCAATGACTCCCAGAATCCATGTGAGCCACTCTTCATTAATCAGTGCTCCATGGAATAGATGACGGATCTCACCCACAGTCTGCATTATTGGCTGGAATTGTAACAAGGGGCAAACAGGTGGGGATTACACTGACAGTTCCTACCACAAAATGTAAGCTAAGAGTACTGTGCTATGACTTGCTGTCCCTATAGACCAGGCCATGCTGTGTTCCCGATTCTCAGACATTAAAGGCAGCAAGAGGGCATATAATGCAGAGAATAATGTTGACACTTAATACTGGAAGGGAGGGGTAGTAGAAGTTTCACACTCATCTACCTTTCCCCCCAATTTCTCCCCATTTGGTTCATTTCCTAGTCTGCCTTGGGAAAATGAGAGCCATTGTGGTGTAGTGGTTTGACTATTGTGCTAGCACTCTGGGGGATCAGAGTTCAAATTCCTACTGACCATGGAAACCCACTGAGCGACTTTGGGCAAGTGGCACACTCAGCCCTACACAAAAGTAATACCAACTCCCCCCCCTCGAATAAACTTGCCAAGAAAATGCTATGATAGGATCACCATAAGTCAGTGTTGACTTGAATGCACCTAACAACAACAACCACCTGGGATAATACAGAAGTAAACAATTCTAATATTTTGCCTCCCTACCGAATCTTGGAATACTGCATAACAGAACAGATTTGATATTCTGCATACAAGCATTTTTAGGAATATAATCTTAGCTAGGACCAATTTGAGTGCCTCTCCTCCAGTGGAGGATCACCTGACAACAGAAGCAGCTAGTTGTATCAGCAATACAATCAGCATTAAGCACCTGGGGCTAGGAAATGCCAATTAATTTCCCACAGTGCTAACAACCTAACATCACCAAAATGAATTATGGCTTTCAGTTCTCGGAAGTGGTGCTCATCAAAGCACTCAAGACAACTTTCTAGTGTGGACCACAGAGTTACTACTCATGGTGATGGCATTGTGGTTATGATACTCCCCTCCATTAGAGAGCCACTTGTTTTTAAGGCATTAGTTGAAAACATATTTATTCATTCAAGGAATAAACTAGTGTCTGATTTTATCTTTCACAATTGTTGGTCTGTATTGTTTGTATTGCAATTTAGCAGATATTTCTAATTCCCTATTTTCGATATCTGTCACTTGTGATCCCAGATGTGTGTAAATTGTAATTTTAAATGTGTGTTTTTAAATAGACTCTTATTTTAAAAACATGAGCATGAGCTCTTGTGAGACAGGGAAGGATATAAATCAGGGGTAGGCAACCTTTTTGAGCCAGGGGATGGGTTGCTGTCCCTCAGACAATTGGGGGGCCGAATCACCAAAAGTAAATAAATAAATAAATAAATAAATAAATAAATAAAATTTTTTAAAAAAATTAAAAAAAATTAAAAATGCATGCACACTCTCTCAGCCCCAGAAAAGCTATGGCAAAACCCCTGTGGAGATTTTGCCAAGAAAAACCTAAGAACAAGTAATAACAACAATAATATCATCATGGTGGGTGGCAGCTGCAGCAGGGAGCAGTGGTGGCGGCAGCAGCAGGACCGGCCTAGGGCCAGTCCAAAGGCCTCAGAGGGCCGCATCCGGCCCCCGGGCCTTGGGTTGCCTACCCCTGATATAAATCAATTTAAAAACATGAATAACCATTGTAAAGATCCCCCAAAGGAGGTATCAGTGATGCATTCTGCCAAAGTCCTCACAGCTGCCCAAGATGAGTGGATACTGGGCTTCATCTCAAAAAGTTAACATTAGAAAGTTGTGAGCCACACTCCTTTACAAATCAGGCCAGTTATCAAGGTGTCTTCTTAGAGATGTCCTGATTTTAATCCACCGCTGGCCTTGATTTTGGTGTATTAAGTTTTCACACCTCTTCAAAATGGGCTTATCTGCTCCTTGGGGAACTGCAAAGCTTAATTAAGATCCTTAAAAGGACAAAGGGTGCCACATAAATTCAGAGAATCATTATAAATGTCAGTGCACTTTACAAGCTCTGCCAAAGTCAGATAATGAATAACAAGACCTTTAGCTTTGTGATGTTCCCAAGCCAGTCTACTTATAGACACAGTGCCTCAAAATAACAGCCATAACATGCTGACATTTATAATCAAAGATGCGTAATAATCTCTTCATAAGAAAGTGTAAAAAGACAGGGTGTGTCTCAGAGAATGGGATCCCACTCACCCCCCATTTCTCTTTAAGGAAATTCACCGAGCTCAATAAACCCTAGTTTAGGATAATTTGCTAATACTCAGAATGAGCGAGGAGCTCATTGCAATGGATGTCAGCAGAAATTATGGGTTCTTGGTATTTCTCAGAGTCACTCCTTATACAATAAAATCCAGTTTAGTGAGGCATTTTATTCACTCCCCATAATCTAGTAAAGGCTGGTGAAGATGAGGAGAGTTCACCTCTGGCCTGTGCAAAGTCCAAAGCATCACCTAGTGTGCCTCTTCCCAAAGCCCCTTCTTTTTTGAAGTCCCACCACCTCCTGGCTGGAAAAGAGACTTTGCATTATCTCTGAGCACAGATCCCAGTGGTATCATGTTATAAAAACTGTATAAATTCCTTAGGAAAAGGAAAAGGTGCCTGTCCTCAGACACCTAAGAGTAGAAACTGCATCAAAGGCAAGGAGGCCTTGTTTTTCAACCCTGAAGTCTTTCCTAAATGGTTTGGTCTGCCTCAGACCCTGGAGAGGTTTTTCTGGTCATAATAATATGCAAGAAATCTCTGATCCAGAGGAAGAATTCTGCTGGCAGAAGTGTGGGGAAGGATAGAGTTGCTTTTGACTGATTTCCCCATTTTCTCTACAGTCTCATTACATAGCCTTAGAAATATGCTCTGAAGAGGGTTTGTTTGGTTGTTGGATGTATATCCATCCCGCCCCCACCCCAGGAATGACACTCAAGGCAGCAAATGGTGGTGAAACAATCAAATGAAGCAAACACAGATTAGAGACGCATCAGTAAAGGGGGGAAAAACACCACCTACCTAGTCTTTACCTGCCAATTGAAAGGACAAAAGAAAACAGGGCCATCCTATTGTCCCTTAAAAGGGATATCCAAAGCTTGGGAGCTGAGACAGCCCTTATCAAACATGCCTCTGAATATAACGGGACCAAGAGTAGGACCTCCCTGGAGAATCTCAGAGCCAAGCTAGATTTGTATGGGAGAACACAGTCCTTCAGATAGCCCAAAGCCAAGCACCACAGGGCTTTATAGGGGACAACCAGTACTTTGATTTGTTGAGCTGGGAAATCCTTAGAAGATTCCCCAAGGGAGGTAGCACTGGGAAATTGTCGAAGATTACCTGCTCCCATTTTGTCAAAAAAGAAGGGAGAAACTAACAAAGTACTATATATCCCCAAGTACTATATAACCCAACAAATGAAACCATCACTTAAACATGGTACTTAAAATTCCGGTATATTTTACAATAACACCATATAGCTGAAAGTGAAAATCATCAATTACTATACATGTGCTAGGTACAACAAAATTACTCAGTTAAAGGCCAATAGTATTACAAGTCCTTTTGGCCTCTGCTGCAGAACATATATAGTTGTAAGAGGAGGCTGATGGAATGAATTTCACAAATGG